TGGACCAAATTCAGAATTTAAACTGATGCAGACTATAGGGAGGGAGTGTATAACCTTGGTCTTGAGATATGCATATTTGTTACCAGTTTCTTCTTCCCAAGCCCATTTCAAGATGATACTGATCTTTATATGACCTGCGCCTTGAGTTCCTGAAAGATCCCATTCTATATCTCATGTCTTAAAGCAAAGGTGACTTTGCTATGTATACATCAACTATAGTGTGGCAGATAGCTATAAAGATTGAAAGACAAATTAGCTTAATTTGATTCTCTCTTTGCTGGATTCTGTTTATTTCAGAGAACATTGGGCTGAAGTTCTAGTATTACTGCAAAACAGACATTATCTGATTTGTTTTATTTAAATCAGTATTTTTATTATGTAGAACATCATATTTATTACCTTCATAATTTGCCTGGATGGAAAAAAAAACACTTTACTCTAGGTTTCTTCTGCTTAGCTCACCCATCTGTAGTCTCATAAGACTGACTTATAGAGATGTAAGTTGGAGCTACCCCAGTAAGCCAAATATAGTGAAGAGTACCTTAATTAAACTAGCAAAGGAGGTGTGGTTTTACAACCAGCTCAGCTTCACTCCACTAGCTTAGAATTGACACATCCTATTTTAATTGGCTTGCACAGGAGTTGCTTTGCAAAATGCTTCACTCTGCAAGCACAGCACTTGAAAAGTTTGCCCAGGCTATAAATGACACTATTGTAAAACAGACAAAAAGAGCCAGAATGAGACAAAAAGATCCCCCCTTCCAAAAAAAAAGCAAATAGTGATCAGATTTAACTAGATGTCCCCACAAAACATAAGAACATTGGCTGGAATCCCATTGGCATTTGCATAAGGTCTGCACTAACTTGCTGCAACTAATTGATAAGATGCTGGAATGTGTTTTAGTCACTTGTCTGGTCACGCGCCCAACTGTGCAGCTGAGATGCTGCTCAGCATCTTACCAATTAGCTGTGGCAAATAAGGCAAACCAATTGGGAATACCAATAAGGACTCCAGCCATCACGTTATTAGGCTCAGGATACTCATATCCTTTTTACAGTTAGCACAGATGCCTGCCTGCATGCATGTGTCAACATAAGGCACATAAGTGCTCTATTGATCTTCTTTCTTCTTCTGCAACCTGGGCTGGAGCCACAATTTATAATCACACCCCAGGGAGCTCTTGACAGAATTCCTTAACATCTGACAGCTATGTACCCAAAGAAAGTCAATCATAAACTTTATCACCTTTATTGCAATAACAAAACCCTTGAGAAACAAGGATAGTAAAGTCTTCTCAAAGGATACTGGAGGAAGACACCATGAATAATGCTGGAAATATTCGGAAGGAGATTTACGGAATCGTTTCTCCTCTATTCTGATATTGAAAGAATTTTATCACAGTGGCCATGCAAAACCCAGTGCTTTAATGTTAATATATTCTTAGGGGCTCATCCAGAATGTTTGATGGTTTAGGATGACTCTGGGGCAGTTCCTTTGTTACAGGAGGATCAAACAACATTTCTCTGGGCTTTATTGTCCTGAAATCACAAAAGAAAAAAGAGGTAGATAGGGAAAGATTACTGCGTAACAAACCTAAATTCTCAGTAAAAGAGAAAAAAGAATGCTTAGCTGTTCTAAGGACAACTTCTGATAATGGAATTTCATTATCTGGTCATATTCCTTCCAAGTTGGAAAGAGCGGAGGGAAGGTCTGGAGGTTTGAAGAGTTACTAAGGGAAGAGGAAGTAGACAGAATTAGAAGACCGGAAGCCAGTAATGGAAATACATATGCTTCCGTACTCCACAATGCCCTTCAACAATGGTTAATGGCTAATTAAACAAGAAACTTAACTGGAATTACCACTGTTAAGGTTCATTTATTTGATAACATTTATCTCTCCTCTTATCCTTCAGTGTGCTCAAGGCAGCCTACATAGCTCTGCCCATTTTATATTCAGAAACACCCTGCAAGGTAGGTCGCACCGAGAGAGTATGAGCAGCCCAAGGTTAGTCAGTGAATTTTGCAGCTGAGTGAGGACTCAGCTGCAGTCTTTTGGGTTCTAGTTTACTCCTATAATTACTACATCACAACAGGTTCTTGGTTTGTGGTGGCCTTTATTTTTACTACAGTTGAAGTCGAAAGTAGGCGTTTACTCCCAAGTGGGGGCATGTTAAGAAGAAAGAGTAGACAGTACTGTACATTCCTGCAATAGCCCCCTCATCCTGTGCAGCTGTTGCAAAACTGGTTGAATATCTCCCCATTCTTCCTGTTCCTGGTTAAACAGGAACCCTTTTCGGCATTACACATAGTGATTGTTTGTCCCCACAGAGTCAAGGAAAAATCTATAGCATCTGTGCTAGTAACGTGTCGCGTCAGCTTGAATGCAATTCCCATATGAAAAGCTCCTCCTGAGTTTTTACAAAAGGTTTTATCGGTGTGGTGTAGTGCAGTGGTCCCCAACCTTGGGCCTCCAGATGTTCTTGGACTACCACTCCCAGAAGCCTCCACCACCATCTCTGCTGGCCAGGATTTCTGGGAGTTTAAGTCCAAGAACATCTGGAGGCCCAAGGTTGGGAACCACTGGTGTAGTGGATAGAGTGATGAACTAGGACTCTGGAGAACAGGGTTTTAATCCCCACTCAACCATGGAAACTAACTTGGAGACTGAGACTGGTAAAAATACTCTTTAAATATCTCACTTATCTTGAAACCCCTATTAGTTGGTTCTGACACGATGGTACAAAACGTGGCAGAGTAATGAGAGATTTTTTTTAAAAATTTAAGATTAAGATATAAAGGCCAAATTACACATTCCATCTGTGTGACCAGCTGTCTTGACAAATCTTGAAGGCATAAAAACATTTGATTCAGGTTGGGTTACAGGAGCAACGGACACAATTAAAAGACTGGCAACATGTCACAGAGCCACTCCCATTTCTGTAATGCATTCCCCCAAGGAACTCAACCTTCCTGCCATAACCATGGTAAAGAGAACGGCCCATCATCATGATTAATGCCTGGTGAAACAAGAAATCTAGTTATGGGGAAAACTGATGCCTTTCAATCTGGGCACCCAACTGACAGGGAGATTAAAAAGGTGTTGTTGAAACATCAAACACTATATTAGTAATTTCCTAATTGTTTTAGTAATGTCTTTGAATCACTACTGCACAAGTAGAATTGTTCTCAGATGAGAAAGCAGAGGTTCTGATTATCTGAGCTGCACAAAATCTAAAGGTCAAATGGCCCTTAAGCACTTTTTTTCACAACAAGCAGGTTCTCCCATTATATAGCTGGATTTAAAAAAATAATGCTGCAAGAAAAGCAAATAAAAGGACACGAACATAGGTTTTCTGTTCCTGCTGCAAGCTTTATAGGGTGAAGTTGGGCTGCAGTGTTCATGGAGGACCAAATTAGATGCTAAAGTTGACACATATAGTTTGAAGAAGAAAACACATTAGTGTTTCAGCTCCCTAATCCCTTCCTGAGTGTTGTATCTGAGGAGTCAGAATGCAAAGTAAGCTGGTGTTTAACTCCTAATGACCCATCACAAAACAAAGCAAGTGACTGGATATCAGAAAAGCTTGTGGGGTTGCAATTAGACAGTTTTTAATACTAGGAATTACTGCTTCTGAGTCTTTTATAGCATCTAGCTAAACGAAAGCTTCAAACCAAGGGAATTTGGCTTAATTTTAGGGTGAATTACTGCTTCTGAGTCTTTTACAGCATCTAGCTAAACGAAAGCTTCAAACAAAGGGAATTTGGCTTAATTTTAGGGCAGGGATCATTCTACTGTATTTCTGGCCCCAGATATATTCCTGATATGTAGAGATGGCGGTATTTGTATACGAATATCCCCGCACAGGTGGAAATAACAAGGGTCCGGCCCCATGGGGTCGGGCTGTCCACTCATGATTTTGCTGCTGATGCTGGCTACGCAGTGCCTTCCTATCATGCCGTTGTCCAAGCTGTCCACTCATGATTTTGCTGCTGATGCCGGCTCCGCGGTGCCTTCCTATCATGCCGTTATCCGAAATCGATTACCCAGTCCTGGCAGGAGGTGGGATGGCAAGCCTCTCTGCTAGATCGGAGAGTGGCTAGTCCATTGCGGACAACAGCGTGACAGGAAGCCTCAGGACAGCCGGTGGCAGTGGCGAAATCGTGAGTGGACATTCCCGCTCCATGGGGCTGGACCCTCGTTATTCCCACCTGTGCGGGGATATTCATATTCGTATACGAATATTCCCATCTCTAATTCCTGTAGAATCTACTAGTCCCACAAAACAAACCCTAACTAACTTCGTATCATTCTCCTGCAGTGAGCAATAAAAGCAGACAAGGCATGCATCAAATTACTCTCCAGTGAATCTCCTAATATAAAATAGACCACTGTATATATAAACCAAGGCTTACAGAGCTGTAGTTAGTCTAACTTTAGATTATTTCAGAAAGTACAGCTTGACCAAGTTGTGGTCAGAAGATTGTTGTCTGGGGCTCTGTTAGGGTAAGGCTAAAAGCAAGCACGTCCTTGTGAGCCAGTGAGCCTTGGCACTCACTGTGAATGGGTATTGTCGTTGTTTAGTCGTCAAGTCGTGTCCGATTCTTCATGACCCCATGGACCAGAGCACACCAGGCCCTCCTGTCTTCCACTGCCTCCCGGAGTTCGGTCAAATTCATGGTGGTCGCTTCGATGACACTGTCCATCCATCTCGGCTTTAAAGCCACCTCACCCACAACAAAACCAATCTTTCTCCTTCTTGAGATTCTCCTTCCCTGAAATTTGACTCGTTGTCAGGAGTACAGATAATTTAGTAAACATACTAAGATCTGGCCATGGTAGAAATGAAAGTTATATCTACTTCAACCAACCGAGTTACAGTACCTTTTTTTGCTTTATTTCTTTGTGTAGCCTGTAACCTGCTTAGCAGGAGAGCACACAATGAAAATGTTGGTAAAATAAAAAAAAAGTAAAATAAAATTAGGGAAGTATAGTTCTTACAGTCAGTTGTGATTTCATAGGGGGAGTTGAGGCGTGCATCTCCACAGGGTGAAGCAGTCACGTACAGATGGAACAGAATGTTCTCTTTTAGCCTGTAGCCTCCCTCTTTTAACCGCACGAAGATTGATCGCTCGCCATCTTCACGCCGTTTGCTAGGATCACAAAGAGAGGTTGCAGGTCATTTGTTACATTCCAGATCTGAACTAATTCTACTCTCCCCACGGGCCACCTTACAATCTCTTTGTTGCATTTCTTCTATGGTACCGAGCCTCGCTTGTCACTGGGTAATGTTAATATGATTGCGACATTGTCACAGTGAGTTCAAGGCTTCAGTCACCAAACTGCTTTACAAAGTCTAGAATTAAAAAAAAAAAAAACTACTAAAATATTATTTAGCAATACAAATGTAACAGCAAATCACAAGACCGGCATTGTTATATTAACAGATACTAGCTTTCAGAAGATCAAAAAATGAATAGTTTAAAAATCCCAGATGTATTTCAAAAGTCTTTATCATCGCCTTTAAAACACAACATATCTGAAGTTGGGGAGCGATTTCATCCTCAGTACATGCAGAAGCACGATCATATTGTTTTTCTAAACAAAGGAAAGAAGATGGGTGGTAACAACAGAATTATTTTTTTATTAATAGCTCAAAAAATAAATGTTCGAGCCACAGATAAGGAATTTGTAAGGATACAAATAAAATTGTTATGTTTTCAAAATGTTATGCTACAGATGCAAGATTCACTAACATTTCGTTTATGAATGGAAAGGTAACTGTGGCTGTCCTTAGATGTCACATTAAACCACAGTTTATCTTGATTGGCTTTCCAGGCTTTCCCTCCCCGTTCTTCCCCTGGTGTTGACCATTAAGAAGAAAAATATGAGTTTTAGGCTTTGTGATTAACTTTCTTTATTGTAATAATCAGCTTCTGGTCACCTGTAGTTTGTTGAATCCTACAAGCAGGAGCCATTGTATGGTGTTGGTTTATTTCAAACAAACCCACATTTAAGACTGTTCCTAGTTTGTCAGGTTCGGACAGTGAACAAGCCACAGTTCAACCAAAGAGAAGCAAAAGCTTTTGATCTCCTTCAAGCGAAACTAGGGAAACAGAAGAGGGGTTGTGTGAAACTGGGGGAAGGGAAGGAAAAGCTAGACTGAACCCTGTAGTTTATTGTGCCACCTGAATGAAGTAAATATGTTTTCTTAAACTTTGGTCACAGATTGAGGCAGGAAAAATTCTATTAAACCTGCTCTGGAAGCAGATAAATGGAAAAGGAACACACTGAATTTTTAAAGCTGCTGATGAATATCAAGTAAGCAATTGAGCGTCCCCAACAGTACTGACTGGAACACAAAACTGGGTGGGGGCATAAGGAGAGGGATTTGCCAGGATTGCCGCTGCTAATTATTTCCATTTTTCTGCTGATGATCTCCTTTGGAAGAAAGGTAAGAGAGCCAGCACTGAGCCTGGTGAGAAGATCTTGTCCTCTCTGGACGGAACTTAAGCCATGTTCCTGCAGTCCTTAGAGTCCAGCAAAAGTAATGTGAGGGGAAAAGGGTTGCCTTGTAGGGTTTTTTTTTGTCTGTGGATGTTTGCTTTTCTCTTGTATTCAAGATTATTTCACTGTAATATTGATGTTACACCAGGACTGTTTAACTGTTTTGTCTTACTTGAATTTACTAATATTAGAATTATCAGCAGTGGGTTATAAAACATACCTCAAAAATCATGTTCAAATCAAAGCAGGGATTTCTCCGTTGACTTATTAATTTCTAGACATGCTGAGGAGAGCTGGGGAGGAGAGCCTAAGCCTGAGGCCTGCTCTTGAACTGATGATAGGCTATAATCCCAGGGGCCAAATAACATGCAGACACATCCTCAGTGGTAGCCTTACTGTTCAGTTCCTTCAGGGTATTACCAAGTTTGTTTACAATGCTGAGCTTACCTCGGGTCACTGCTAAGTTGAAATGGATTCAGCCAGCAGCAGATCTGCAGTACGATCTACTCTATGAACACCTGGGGACTAGTGCTGATGCCAGAGGTGTGGTTTTGTGTCTTTTAAGCAAAATGATTTTAATGAACAACAAAAAAACAACAACACAAATATAGGAGAAAAGCAAAGAGAGAAAGTCTGAGTTAACTCCTTCCTTAGCCGTCATTTTTGCAGCATGCTGGTTGTCACTAGAGAGCAGCAGAGTCCCCTCCACATGTCGAAACTCAAGAGATACCAGGGCCTTATCCCAGGTAGCTGGCTCAAGGTTCACTGCAGCTTCCCAGGTCAGTAAAATGAGTACTGTACTCAGCTTGCTGGGGAGGTATTGTGTAGCCTGCATAATTAACTTGTAAACTGCCCAGAGAGTGTCTTAAGCGCTATGGGGGCGGTATATAAGTAGCACTTTCAGTATTCATTTTCAGTACAGTTGTTTAATGGCTGCAAAATCGGAATGTGGCCAAAATATTTTTCTTTTCCAGAACTGTAATCAACAATGCTTAGCAGCTCTTTGTGTTTGTATTCTGCTGGTGGTCTTCTTGCTGGAATGCTACCTCTGTAGCAGCCGCCTCTTCTAGCGCAGCCTGCATGCTGTTAAAACCATTCGGCTGTCACTCTTCCACGGTTTGCTTGTTTTGTCGTTTTTTTGATGCTGTGATGTGTTTTCTGTCGAGTGAAATTTACAGGCACATTACCCTGCTTGACAGGAACACAGAGTCACCAGGATCTCCTGAGGAGAAGGTGGACGCCTGCAGCTCTCTCATTTCCCTACCACCCTCTGCGAAAGCTCCCATCCAGTTTAATTGCATTATCACCCTGACACAAACCTCAGGGACAAGGGACTACCTGAAGATCTTTCCTATCAGGAATTTAAAAGTAACTGCATCCTTTTTTTTCTTTTTTTTGGTTTAAATTCAGCAAAATCTGCTTAGGCTAGGAGAGAAATATAGAAGCCGCATTACATTTAATGCCTGATACAGTATTATGATATTATTGCATTTTGTACTGTGGTTGTTTTAATATGATAATCTGTGTAATTGTGTTTTAAACCCAGTTGAGCACAGTTAAATACAGCTTACTGTATTTTTAGTTGCATCTTGTTTTTAATCATGTTGTGAGCTGGCCTGGGTCTCAGTATTGTAGTAAGAATACAGAAATGTAAATAAAATGAGCAGTTAAATGATATCATTTCATTAGCTACTCTAAATCGTTTTGGGAATACAATTTATTCTAAAGGATGGTTTAATAACCTAAATATATATATAAAATAAACCACTGAAATCGTTTTGGGAATACAATTTATTCTAAAAGATGGTTTAATAACCTAAATACAGTGGTGCCCCGCATAGCGACAATAATCCGTGCAGCCAAAAACGTCGCTATATGGATTCGTCACTATGTGAAATAAAAAAGCCCATAGGAATGCATTAAAAGCCGTTTAATGCGTTCTTATGGGCAAAAAACTCACCTTTATGCAGAAATCCTCCATATGGCCACCATTTTCGCTGCCCGGTAAGCGAGGAATCGGCACGAAAACACAGCGGGCGGCCATTTTTTTTACCCAGCGGCCATTTTGGAACCGCCGATCAGCTGTTGGGCAATCATCATCATGCGAAAATCGGTACGTGAAACAGCTTACCAATCATCGCAAAGTGATTTTTTCCATTAGTAACACTGCAATGCGATCGCTTTTGCGATTGCAAAAACTTAATTGCTATGCGGATTCATAGTTAAACGGGGCGCCCATTAAGCGAGGCACCACTGTATATATATAAAATAAACCACTGGTATCTAGTTATAGTTCCTAGGTATGTATACTCATGGTACAGGGAGGTAAATTAGGGTAAATTTTGTTTAGGCCAAAGTAAATTGTTGGCCTAAACGAAATGCACCCATGATCCAATTTCCTTCTTACGGCATTTTCTTTCCTCATGTCTTTCCTTCCTGCGACTGAAATCTGAGTCAAGCTGGCTCCCACTGCAACTAATGTCAAAGCTTTAAGCCAGGCCCTTTGTAGCAGCTTTGAGCACGTTGCCTCATTTACGTCAATGGGAAGAGCTACCGAGGAACGCAGGAAAGTACCTTGTACAGTATTGAGTCAGAGTATTAGTCTAGCTAGCCCATGGTGAATGACTGGTGAAGCTCAGCAAGAAAGAGAACAGTTATATAGACCTTAAATAGTCTACCGTCAGAATGGAAGCATAAATACACATTTTCTCCAATGCAACAAAGCATTTGTGTAAAATGAAAGGAAGCTATACTACATTTTAATCTCTGTGACAAAAGGTGGGGCAGGGAGTGGAATGAGGCATAGCCCATTCATAAATAGATACGTTGTCTACCTGTATGGGAATTGTAATTGTAATTTTGGAAGAACTGCTTCATGAAGATTGCAAGGACTTAATCCAGCATCACCAGATAATGCTTAAAAAAGATTTTGCTCCACGTGGAAGCAGTCGCTGAGATCTCCTACAAGTACACCTGAGGCATTGCTAAAAAAGATTTTGCTCCACGTGGAAGCAGAAGTTCGAAATAATGTCTAGACTTCCTCAGAGAGAGAGAGAGGGAGAGAGGACAACATAAACTCTCTTCCGGGGAATGCCAAGGACCCTGGCCTCCATCCCAAAGAGTAGCAGTAAGGGAGGGGTCAGCTTTTTTTAAGACAGCCTCCAGCTGTCTAACCCCCCTACAAACTGACAAATAAATTTGTGCTTTGTTGGTTCATGAAATTCGTGCTTCTTCAACTTTGATGGATCACGAAGCATGACAACTCGCCAAAATGGTGATTCGTTCCTATCTCTAGTGTGAACATGACATATGAGACAAAAAAAAAGAGGTCATAAAAGGATTACTGAACTGTGAAAGGGGATGAAACCAGGAGGTACATTTGGCAACAATAATTCTGTATGTGTGTTTTGTCTCTGCATGTGTGCATCTGTATGAGAGGAACAGGTAGGAACCAGCTCCTGGCTAAATGGAGACAATCATTTGTAGGAGGGTTTATTTTTTAAAAATTTTTGGTGAGTAGAGTTTTATGTTGCTCTGAGAATTCCCTTGACAAAATAACATAGCATTGATCCACATAACATAATAACATAACTGAATGTGCTATGGAGATGGATCAATAAAAAGCTTAAGAAACAGTGATTGCACT